CCTCTAGCCACAATAACATACCGTCCCCTGTCTGTTCCCTGGGGAGGACTTGCTTTGGAGGTAGACAATTAGGGAGTGAATTAATGAACTGCCTTGACCCCTTCTGTCTGGTGTCTGAGGGAGTCTGGAATATTTGTGTTAATGTTAACGTAAAAACATTCAAACCTATAAAGAATTTTTGTGAGTTTATTTGAGCCAAACTGTCGACAATTGCCGGGAAGCAGAACCTCAACAGATTGAGATAATGCTCCGGAGAACCAGCTGTGTCCCCACCTGCATCCCCGCCTGCAACCCCACCTGCAGCTCTCTGCTCCCTGATGGGGGTGTGGACCAGATGCTTATGTCTCCTTAATGGGTTTTTAACCAGCTTTATTGAGGCCTATATTTTACATACCACACTCTTTGCTGGTTGTAAGAGGATGGTTCAATAAATTTTAGTCTATTTTAGAACATTCCAACACATCAGAGTCTTTTGTTCCTGCTCACTGTCACCACCCCACTCCCACCCCAGCCCTAGGCAACCCCCTCTGCTTTCTGTCCCTATGTTTTCTTTTATTATTTTTGTACCCTAAAAGCTGTCTTAGTTTATAGGTATCTATATTCTGTTAGAAAAGGGAGGACCAAGCCTGGCTCAGTGGTTGAGTGTCGACCTATGAACCAGAAGGTCAGGGTTCGATTCCTGGTCAGGGCACATGCCTGGGTTTCAGGCTCCATCCCCAGTGGGGGGCATGCAGGAGGCAGCCAATCAATGATTCTCTCTCATCGTGGATGTTTCTCTCTCTCCCTCTCCCTTCCTCTCTGAAATCGATAAAATGTATATATATTTTTTAAGAAAAGAAAAGGGAGGACCAAGCTGCTTTGACCTTGGACTTGATTTTCCCTGGGAAAGTCGACGGGAAGGGATGCCAGGCGCTGAGACTGGACCCTCGGGAAGTCCTCTTCCAGTGTCCCCACCCCTCCAGGGCAGAAATCCCCCCAAATTCGGAGTGGCTCCTGAGCAGACGCATTACTGTGGGAGGCCATCTGTGAGCCAAACCCCACACTCGCGGGGGGGAAACTGAGGCACAGGGACAGTGATTTGCTGGAGGCTACACTGTGACTTGCAACATGGGGCACCCCCAGCCCCGAGCCCGGCCCGTGGGGCCTCTGTGGCCCGACTGACGCCCCCTCCCGCCTCCGTCTCTGCCCCCCCCTTGTCTCTGCCCCCCGCCCGCCCCAGGCCTGCGGAAGG